GCACGGCTCAGGGTGAGAGTAGCTGCCTCACAGGTGTTAGCGCTGGTCTCAGCTCTCAGGATGGGGAGAGGGAAGGGAGCCTCTGATGGACACGGCCAGGGCCCAGAAGAGCCTTCAACATGTCTCTGTGTGTTGGGGCGTTCCACCTGCCTGGGCCTTCTGCAGGCTGGGAGAGGCCCCTTTGTGGGGGCTGGCTATGGTCTGCCTTCCGGGCCTCCGCACGCCTGGCCACATGCACGGCTGTCGTGGTGCCAAACTGCGGGGAGGACAGCTGTTTTTCCCTTCTACCCTTCAAGGGGAACTTCTGGTCAGTCCCTGACAGCCTGGAAAGTTTATCCTTTTTCCATCGAAAGAAAAGAAAAAAGAAACTATATTCTGCTTCTGAACTATGCATCCCAAATTATATTCCTTTTCTTTTTTTTTGTGGTTGATCAGAATGATTCTTTTTTTTAACATTTTTTATTGATTATAATCATTTTACAATGTTGTGTCAAATTCCAGTGTTCAGCACAATTTTTCAGTCATTCGTGGACATATACACACTCATTGTCACATTTTTTCCTCCGTGAGTTATCATAACATTTTGTGTATATTTCCCTGTGCTATACAGTGTAATCTTGCTTATCTATTCTACAGTTTTGAAATCCCAGTCTATCCCTTCCCACCCTCCGCCCCCCTGGTAACCACAAGTCTGTATTCTCTGTCTGTGAGTCTATTTCTGTCCTGTATTTACGCTTTGATTTTGTTTGTTTGTTTTTGTTTTTGTTTTTTAGATTCCACATATGAGCAATCTCATATGGTATTTTTCTTTCTCTTTCTGGCTAACTTTGCTTAGAATGACATTCTCCAGAAGCATCCATGTTTCTGACTCACATCTTTGCCCCTAGAACCTCAAGCCCAGGGTCTTGTCCACAGCAAAGGCAGGTGCTCAAAAAAACAACTGTTTAATACATAGATAGCTTTTCTATTGCCTTCCCCACACACCAGGATCCTGCTGACCTCTCCTCCTCACCAGCTCTCCCTCAAACCCCAAGGCTTGGAGAGGTGTGCTCTGCACCCTAGACTCTCCTCCAGTCTGTCTGCACTTCCAAGGTTACTCCTGTTTTAACTTAAACCTTTCCTTAAGAAAGGAGCATGCACCATTTTACTCCAGATAATTGTTAATCTGGATTTGAAGTCTCTACCTATCCTGGAAGGAAGTCTGCCCTTCTTATTAACTCCCCCATTTACATAGCAAAGAACAAACTTACCCCAGCAAACAAACACAAATAATCTAATTTAAAAGTGAACAAAGAACTTGTATAGGCATTTTTCCAAAGAAGATATACAAATGGCCAACAGGTTCATGAAAAAGTATTCAGCATCACTAATCATCAGGGAAATACAAATCAAAACCACAATGAGATACACCTCACACCTGTTAGAATAGCTATCCTCAATAAGACAAGAATGTTGGTGAGGATGTGGAGAAAAGGGAAGCCTCATGAACTGCTGATGGGAATGTGAATTGGTACAGCTACTAAGGAAAACAGTATGGAAGTTCCTCAAAAAATTAAAAATAGAACTACCATACAATCCAGCAATTCCATTTCTCGGAATATATCCAAAGAAACAAAACCACTAACGCAAAAACATACCTGCACTACCATTTTCAGAGCAGCATTATTCACAACAGGCAAGGTATGGAAACAACCCAAGTGTCCATCAATGGACAAATGGATAAATAAAAAAAAAGTTGTGGTATATATACAATGGAATAGTATGCAGCCATAAAAATAAGGAACCCCTGCCATCTGTGACAACATGGATGGACCTCGAAGGCATTATGCTAAATGAAAACTCAGATAGATGAAGACAAATACTGCATGATCTCACCTATACGTGAAACTAAACAAAACAAAATAAAACCAAACTCACAGAAAAAAGGGTCAGATTGTGGTTACTATAAGTGGGGATTGGGGGGAGGGGGAATTGGATGAAGGCGGTCAAAAGGTACAAACTTCCAGTTATGAGATAAATAAGTACTAGGGATGTAATGTACATGATGACTACAGTTAACACTGCTGTGTGGTATATTTGAAAGTTGTTAAGAGCTCATACAACTTAACAAGAAAAAACAACCAACCAAATCCAAAAATGGGCAGAAGACCTAAACAAGCAATTCTCTAATGAAGACATACAAATGGCCAATAGGTACGTGGAAAAAATGCTCAGTATCACTAGTTATCAGAGAAATGCAAATCAAAACTACGATGAGGTATTACCTCACACCAGTCAGAATGGCCATCATTCAAAAGTCCACAAATGGTAAATGCTGGAGAGGATGTGGAGAAAAGTGAACCCTCCTATACTCTCGGTGGGAATGTAGTTTAGTGCAGCCATTATGGAAAACAGTATGGAGATTCCTCAAAAGACTAAAAATAGACTTACCATATAATCCAGCAATCCCATTCCTGGGCATATATCCAGAGGGAACCTTAATTCAAAATGATACATGCACCCCAATGTTCATAGCAACACTATTTACAATAGCCAAGACATGGAAACAACCTAAATGTCCATTGACAGATGACTGGATAAAGAAGCTGTGGTATATTTATACAGTAGAATACTACTCAGTCATAAATAATAGTAAAATAATGTCATTTGCAGCAACATAGATGGACCTGGAGAATGTCATTCTAAGTGAAGTAAGCCAGAAAGAGAAAGAAAAATACCATATGATATCACTTATATGTGGAATCCAAAAAAAAAAAAAGACAAACTTACTTATTTAGACTTAGAAACAGACTCACAGACATAGAATACAGACTTGTGGTTGCTGGGGGGTGGGGAGAAATAAATGGGGAGTTTGAGATTTGTAGATACTAACTAATATACATAAAACAGATAAATAATAAGTTTATAAAGTATAGCACAGGAAACTATGTTCAATACCTTATAGTAACCTATGGTGAAAAAGAATATGAAAATGAATATATGTATGTTCCTATATGACTGAAGTACTGTGCTGTACACCAGAAATCGACACATTGTAAACTGACTATACTTCAATTTAAAAAAAAGAAAAGAAATACATTGTGAATAAAGGAGACATTTTAAAAAAAGAAAGTTGTTAAGAGAGTAAATCCTAAAATCCTCATCACAAGGAAAAAAAAATTTTTTTGTTGTTGTACCTATATTAGATGATGGATGTTAACTAAACTTATCGTAATCATTTCACTATATGTTAAATCACTATGCTGTACACTTTAAACTTATACAGTGCTGTATGTCAATCATATCTCAATAAAACTGGAAAAAAGATAAATACCTATTTAAAAAAAATGAACCCACCCAGAGAAGTCTGACCTTTGTTCTGGCTCTTGGGAAGTAACCTCTAAACCCCTTGAATAAGGAATGTGACTGGTCTCTGTCAAGTTCCTGGGAGGTAGCCCCTAAATCCTCGGGATTTTCCAAGTGATAAGAGTGTCTTTGCTACTCCTGGCAAGCCCTGAGAGTTTATGCTAATGGGGCCACTCAAAGTGGAGACTGGTCACACCATTAAGCTATTGTGATAAGAGCTAGGGAAGGGGCTGAAAGATGGGGTCAACCAAATAGCCACTGATTCGATCAGCCACGCCTACTGAATGACACCCCAGTAAAACTGGACATTGAAGCTAAGATGAGCTGCCCTGGTTGGCATACATTGAGTGGAGTCACACATCAAGGTACTGGGGAAGTGACACGTTCTGCCTCCATGGGGAGAAGACAGGAAGCTTCATATCTGAGACCGTCCTAGACTTTACCTTCCGTGTCTCTTCTTTTGGGTCTGACTGGTATCCTTTTGCTATAATTAAACTATAACCTTATGTATAGTGTTTTCCTGAGTTCTGTGAGTCATTCTAGCAAATTATTGAACCTGAGAGGACAGTGGGAACTCAAACTTGGAGCCAGCTGGCCAGAAGTGAGGGTGGACTGGGGACTCCTGAATTTGCAGCTAGTGTGTGAAGTGTAGGCAGTCTAATGGAGACTATGTCCTTAACCTATGAAGTCTAGCTCAACAGAACAGTTGGTGTCAGAAGCCAAGGCACCGAGTTTGGCAAACTGCCTGCACAGCCCCAAGGGAAGGATCCTAAATAGGGTTCCAGGACCTTCCTGATAGAATTATCCAGATCCTTTCCTTCACAGAGTGCAAGGCACTATAACAAAATCCAAAGCACAGGAAGGACCGTAGCAGTATCTTTTCTGTGTGATCTTCCAGGGGAAATCAGTAGGGAGAGGAAGGTCAGAAACCAAGAGAAGGGAAGTGAAAGAGAAGGAAAGGCTCAAGGAGGAAAAAGCAGTGGCATCTGGGACGTAGGAATCCTTCTGCATCTGAGTGAATGGTGGGGATGCTCAGGGCCTCACCAGGTCCACGGGAATTAGACTGAGGAACCTGGGCAAGTGGTGGCACATTGACCAGGGCAACTGATTTCAGACTATGGCACTTTTTCCTAATCAGCTGAGCATGTATTTAAATTCTGTTTTGAAAGTGGTCATCCTTGAAACCTAGGGATCAACATGTCTTGCCTAAAGCCCCCTAATTGTGTGAACTGATGTGACCCAAACTGAGCCCTGATGTTACTTGTCCTTGGCCAAAATCCCGAATCTGGAAGAACAGAATGCCTGAGTGCTGGGACAGGAGAGAATCTGCGCCCGTTACGTGCCTTCTACCCAGAGAAAGAACCCCAGATCAGCTTTTCCACAAAAGGAGAGTTTCCCAGATGCCACCCATACTTGGAAGAAGCCAGGCTGAAAGACTAATCAAGTCAAACTTTCTTGATATTACTCTATCTTTCCCCAGGAGGGTTGCACTAAAACAAATTCGGACACCTGTGGCCTCCTCCTTTTATGCAAAGCAAAAAGCCAGCAGCAACCCCCAGCTGATAAGATTAACCTAAAGAGCAAATGGTGTAATTTCCTATGCTGATACTTTGTAGTTAATTTTAAAAAAAGGTTTCATTTTCCTACTGGTCTGATTTCACAGGAACATTTTACCTGTTTCTGTGAGGCATTTTTTCTCCTGGAAGAGACAAGCTGATTGGCCCCAAATGACTGACAACTTGGTGTAACGAAAATTTCCAATGTAAACTGATTTTCCCTCAGTTTCAGCAATTTTATATCTATATATAGAGATATCTTTGTCAGAATTGCATTGTTAGCTTCTCCTGGTAAACTAATTGCCTCACATTGTCAGGGCAAATAGAAATCTATTAATGGGTCTCACTTCCCAACTGATCCCAACCCTGGTCTGCTTACTGGTTTGTACCAGCAACTTTGCCCACGGACACAAGTGTGATATCACCTTGCAAGAGATCATCAAAACGCTGAACACCCTCACTGCGAGAAAGGTGAGTAAGCTATCTGGCACCATCTCTCCAGATGTTCTGGTGATGCTGTGCGTACTTCTCAGACTGTGAGAACACAACAGCGTCCAGGGAGCTGGGAGTTGGTGACTGGTGACAGGACCGGGAGCAGAGTGGAGACTTTTCTCCTGGCATTTTTTTTTTTCCCTGAGGAACTATAGGAAGTTTTCTCAGTTTAGTGGGTGAGAAGTGCTCAGCAAGGATTACTCTGTGCAGTTGGAGGTAACTCTGTCTCTTGCTCTCTCGTTCCTGCCTGGGCCAAGAATTCGTGCATGGAGCTGACTGTAGCAGACGTCTTTGCTGCCCCAAAGGTAAGAGCTGTCCCGGGTCTGCTTTGGCAGATGGGTGATTTGGTGAGGAGAGCTATTCACAAGTATTTGAAAAAGAAACTTTTTAAACAGAGAGCGAGCAGGCCCAAATTAACTGTAAAATGTGAAATGTTTTCAAAGAACAAGAATTCTGATCTTTATTCTCAAATATGTTTTGGTGTGTCTGGTTTCACTTGATTTAGAAGATGTATAATAGAAAGCTTGGGTTTTGTAGTCATAATTCAGACCACAGTCAAGGAAAAGCTCTTTAGGATTTTACCCAGGCCTGGCCTAGAATATAGGAGGCACTCAAGAAATACTTGTTAAAGGAGAGAATTTTTCTAGCCCATACATTTCTGAAAAACCAAATACTCTCACAAAAACAGATATTGAGATTACAGGTTGAGAGAGCTTTCATTTTGTCTAAGAGACTTCCTACGGCAACAGAAAAGTTATCGCCAGAGCCCCTCCTCTTCCGCAGCCTGGTCACCTAACGGTCCACCACCTCTGGGCATGGCTGTCCAGAGGCCCTAAGCTGCTTCTGTCCTGCCAACTCCCCTCCGGCCTGTCCAGAACTGTCTACCAGATAGGGTTCAACATATCCCTGCCTCTGGCTGCTCCTGCTGGGGCGTCTCGCCTTTCCTCCTCACCCCCACCCCCTGATGTGCAGTGGGAGGAGATAGATTTGACAGCTGATAGTGCATTTTCTCTGACAAACACATGACTACAGCCATATCAATAGCTTTGTGCACATCAGTTCCTGTTTTCATGGAAACACAAGACTGAGAATGAAAAACCCAGAGCTTCAATCTACCAGTGGTCTCCTAACCACCTGCTTTCCACGTGTACTGGAGGGTTACTTGGCCAGGAGTGAAGCCCTGTGGGTAGGTCAGGGCCTCACGCCAGCACCCAGGCCACAGACCAGGCCTACCCTACTGGGAAGGAAAACTGTTCTTCAGGCCTCTGTCTGGATGATCTCATTTCATTAAAGATTATTCCAGGAGCTGGATATACAATAATACATAATACTGTAATGTAATTATATGATATCATGTATATAATATAAAGGTATAATATACAACATTATGTAATATATATTATATAACTCCATCCTTCAGAAACTGATCCTGTATCAGACTCTGTCCCTCAGTAGATTGGAAGGACTAGGAGACTATGTTAATATTTTATATAGATACATAAAACAGCCAAGAGTCCACTGAGCTGTACTCTGGGTTCTCCAGAGGGCGACTGCACTGCCGAGAGGGCTCTACCAAAGCCAAGCGCAGGGCCCCAAAAGAAGTGCCAAGGGTCTGGAAGCGAGAGTCTGTGGCTTTAGCCCCAGTTCTGCCTTTAACTATGTAGCCCTTAGCAAGTCTCCACCCCTCTTTGTGCCTCAGTTTCTACATCTGAAGATATGAAAATGATTTTGAAAGTTTGTTGGAATCCAACTCTTGAGTTAGTGGAAAGTGTTATTGTATGATGTAACTCTTGACTAAAGGCAAAAACTGGTTGTAGAGAAGCAATAATTCTAAGAAAGAGGGCCAATGGTTGGAAATGATGAAACCCCCCATGACTCCAAGCCCAGGGCGACCCTGCTCTAGCCTATCTCTAGAAGACCCAGCCACCCCTCACACCCCCAGAGCTGCAGGCCTTGCCATGCTGCTTTCCTTCCGTTCTTGGCCCTCCTCTTCACTCAGTTCTCACAGACTCCCTCACCACATGGAGAGCCAGCTCCTACAACCAGTCCCTGCTGCCTTAGTTTTGAGTGTATGGCTATATAATATATGGCCTTCCTTCACTCTTACCTACCTCATGCCTTCTCCCGAACTGCTTCTACTCCTCCTGGATTAACAATCTCATTTTTCCCATTCTCTTTTCCTCAAAGACTCAGTCCTGCTTACTTACTTATTATGATATTTCAGAACAAAGAAAGGTAGTTATTTTCAAAACCCACAAAGGTGACATGTGGGAGGAAAAGTTACTTCTTTGTGTTCTCAAAGAAGAACATCTTTCCAAAATCCAAGGTATTGATTTTAGTTCTTTTGGAGATCAAGTGTTCCATTACGTCCAAGTTGGGCCACATCCTGCTCTTGGCAGCTGCTGGAAGAATGTGCTGATCTAAATCTTGGGCTTCATGGACAGTGCCTTCCTGGTGTCAGTGAAGTTAAGGTGGCCTGAGGAAGAGCAAGGTGGAAGGCAAGCAAGGTGGCCAGTCTATGAAGGACTTCCTGAGTGGACCATTAGTTGGAGGTATTTCCTACTCAACCAAAGGGAGCTGAAGTACACAATTTTTCAGGGAGCTCTACGTCAACCTTTACATCTTCTTTTGAAAGTGAAAGTAAAGGATTTTTTCATCTATAACACTGGCTGACTAAATTTGGGCCAAAGTGAAGATAATGAATATAACACAAATAGGACTGGGTTTGTATGTCCCAAATTAGAACTCTAACAGAGTCCTGGCCACAGATGTCTCCTGGATGGCATTCCACCACCTGCTGTATTCCCATGGGGGATGGGCTTCTTTGTGTCAAGAGCCCAGGCTCCCTTTGGAGTCTCTTCCCTGAGTAATGCTGAACTGCAGGGTCCACCTGTCCTCAAAGTGTCCTTGAGCCACACGAGATGTACTCAGGCACCAAAAGTTCAACAAACAGGTGAAAGCGGTGGGTACGGAGTGTCATCCTGTTGCTGCCATGCCAATGGAGCTAAAGCTTTAAGACCTGAAGCTAAACCAGCCTTTGGAATTAGTTCTTTTCAAGTTTTCTATTCAATTCAATCTCTTTTCAATTCCTATTTTATCCTAATTACCTTTAGAAGGGCTTTGAAAAATATATTTAGTGTGTTTTCCTATATTATATGGCCATACACTCAAAACTAAGGCAGTATAATTTCTAAGATCCTAGCCAAAGTTTTAGAATAGGCTCATTAGATTTTGATGGAAAAATAAGCAAAGGGTCTTGTCTCCTTTTGGCCCTCATTTCTCTCTGCCTACATCTGCACACACCTAGTGTCTGTGTTCTCCTTGGCCTCACCACCTCTGCTTGCCCCCAGAGGTATGGTGATTTATGGGAGGTTTCTTGATCCCCAGAGCCCAAAGATATTGGTACCTCTCTTAAATTTCCAACTAGAATCAGGGTCCAGAGGGCTCTTGGCCAGTTCATTAAGTGCATGTTCTTCCTAAGGCCCTGCCCATGGGCCACCAAGCTCCATGGAGAACAGGGGAAGCTTCTATAATTTGGGATTCTGGTGCCTCAGTCTGGGTCTAGATCCTCCTGGAAAAACCCTAAAATATGAACTGCACTTCTAGAATTTAGCCTAAAGAAATAAGAGATGAAAACAAAAATTTACACAGACGACTCATTGCCACTTTATTTACAGAAGCAGAAAACTGCAATGATAGGGGATTGATCAATTATGGTGCATACAGGCCCTGGGTTCCTATGCAGCTCTCAATCTCATCTTCTTAAATACTACTGAATGACTTAAGAAATTGCTAGAACTATATGTTAAGTGTAAAAAGGTTACAAAACAGTATCAATCAGGGGAGGGTAACAGCTCAGTGGCAGAATGTGTGCTTAGTAGGTATGAGATCCTAGGTTTAATCCTCAGCAACTTCACTAAAAAAAAAAAGAAAGAAGAAAGAAAATAAAACAGTATCAATAGTTGGTCCCTATTGCCAAAAAAAAAAAGAAATACTAAAAAAATCTGGAAGACAGTTATCAACAATCTTAACAGTAGTTATCTCTGGCTGGTGGGATAATGAGTGAAATCTTTTCTGTTAAATACATATTACTCTTACAGTAAAAGTTTGACAATCAGAAAATACATGTAAGAACCTAAAAATCTGCCTGGACAGTGCAAATGCCCTGGAGATCCAGTAGTATACTGTGATTCAGTGGGTCCAGGGGGAGGCCTGAGAGTCTGCATTTCTAACAAGTTCCCAGGTGATGCCCTGGCTGCAGCTTCAAAGACCACACTCTGAGCAGCAAGGGACAAGAACCTGTCCTGGCAAAGGCTGAAGATAGTTTTATCTGATCTGGATTGGGCTCAAGCTAAGACCACCCTCCAGGCTCCATGCTTTTGTTCTTCAGGGGAGAGTGAGAGGACACCCTAGGCCTGATCAGACTGAGACATACTCCTCCTCCCAGGTTCTCAACAAGAGCTGTTTCCCCCTTACACCTTCCCTCTTCTAAGGCTCAAACGTCCGCAGGGAGAGCCATGTGGCCAGACCCACATTAGAAAGGCCAGCATTCCAAGGAGGTTCTGACACTGCACACTGGAGGAGCTCTGTTCAAGGCCCAGCACCCTCACTCAGAAGCTGCCCCTGATCTCCCCAGGCCAAACTCCCAGGGGTACCCAGCCCCGATCCTGGCATTCACCTCTAGCTGTGGGGAAACCCCTTATCTCCTCACACTGTTACTTCCCAGGGGGAGGGCTAAATGGAGAGAGTGCTGGCCAAAGTAGTGCTGTCCTGGCCAAAGGATGGGCACTCGTTTATTTCAGAAGCATGTGGGATTTCCAGGGAAACCTAGATTCTAAGACCTTACAGGAATAAGAGAGAACAGACTCTGACCACAAGCTCACAGACATACAACCCTTTCCACAGAAAGAATAGCCTGCATGCGGTAAAGGAACAGACATGGGCTAAAGATAGGTGGCCCACTCTCTCAGTTACTTGGCTGAGTAACTCGATTCAGGCACCCTTTCAGCAAAACCCTCCAAGGGAAAGGAAATTGAGAGGTTTTAGGAAAATGCTGCTGCATTTGTAGGTAACTGGGAGAGGCTGCTTGCTGCAATGAGCAGCCACCAGTCTCTGGAACACCAGATCCACAGTTAAGCAAATTCACCTTCTCCATTCATCCTTCTGGAAAGAACAGATCAGAAGGAAACATCTCTCTCTCCCACGTCCCGAATCGAGCCAACACGTAACTATCTGTGGTGTTTCTCTTTCTAGAACACGACTGAGAAGGAAACCTTCTGCAAGGCGGCAACTGCTCTTCGGCACATCTACAGACACCACAACTGCTTGAGCAAACACCTGAGCGGACTTGACAGGAACCTCAGCGGCCTGGCAAACACGGTAAGCTGCACTCACTGGGCTCCTGTTGGACAGCAGCCTTATACTAAATACTCCTCCTTATGAACAGTAGGACTCTTGGGCAATTAACCCATTCATCCATTCGACAGGTATTTGCTGGGGCTCTGTGAGTGTTGCTTACAGGTACTGCTCTAGGCACCGGGGATACTGTTCTTGCTCTCACAGAATGTTCAATGGGGGAGTCATAAAAGCAAACAAGCATGTCATATGATGTCCAGTATTGATAAGTGCTATGACAAAATTATAGGAATAAAAAAAATTAGGAATAAAGAACATAGGGGTCATGAGGGAGAGGGCCGATTTAGTAATTAGTAAAATCATCTGTAGAGATTCTGAATTAAGTGAAAGAGCCCGCCATGTGACTAACTTGGAAAGAACATTCCAGGCAGAGGGAACAGCTATGCAAAGACCCTAAGGTAGAAATAAGCTTCATATGTTCAAAGATCAGTGAGGAAGGCCAGTATGGCTGGATAACAGTGAGCGAGGGGGATTTCAGTAGGAGATCTCACATGAACTTGCGATTCTGTCCCAGGTACAGTGGGAAACTCCCAGACAGTTTTGAGCAGGGCAGAGACTATGATCTGATTTAGGTGATTTTAAATGATCACTGGCTACTGTGCAATAAAGAGACTGAACAGGGGTAAGCATAGAAGCAAGATGGCCACAGCATTGCAGGCTTCAGATGACAGTGGTTTTGACAGAGTGGAGCAGTAGATGCTGTCAGATTTGGGATACAACTGAAAATAGAGCCAGAGAACTTACTGACAGATCTACTGCGAGGGGTGAGGGAAACAGTAAAAGGTGACCTCTTGGTTCCTAGCCTGAGCCCTTTGGGGGATAGTTGGTGCTGTTTACAGATATGGAAAATGAGGAGGGTAAGCAGGGCTGGGAGGTTAAGATCACGAGGTTCAAGTTTATACACAGTTAAGTTTGAGGTACCTGCTGAGTAGCCAATGAAGATGTTGATAAGAATTTTGAAAAAGTCTGAAGCTGAAAGGAGAGCTCAGAACTTGTGATATAAAGTGAAGGGTTATCAGAAAGATGTTGTTTAAAGTCACAGACCTGAATGACACAGAGAAAGGGAGCGATCCAAGGACTGAGCCCAGAGGCACTCTAACATACAGAGGTTACCAGAGGAGGGTTATGCAAAAGAGAAGTAGTCAGTGCAATAGCAGGAAATTAAAGTGTGGTACCCCAGAAGGCAAGTGAAGAAACTCTTGAGGAGGAGGAAGTGATCAATTGTGTCAAATGTATTAAAAGATCAAATAAGATGAACACTGGAGAATGCCCACTGGATTTGGCATGACAGAGGCCACTGGTGATGCTGATATAAATGGAGATTCAGGAATGAAAGCCTGATTGGAGTGGGTTCCATAGAAAATGGGGGTAGGGAGGAGTAAAAAGAAAGGACACTGAGTGTGGACAACTCCTCTGAGGTGCTCGTCCATAAGGTTGCAGAGGAACAGAACAACAGCTGGAAGGGCAGGTGTGGAGTGAGGGAAGTTCTTTTTGATGGGGTACATACTGAGCATGTCAAAATACCGGTGGGAATCCTCCAGTAAGAGGGGAGAGTTGACGATGGAGAGAAGAGAGAGAGCAAAGAGTAGACATTATCTAACGCCAAGTAGAGGAATTGAGGACATTCATCCCCCCTTCTAGAGCCTGCTGCTTTATTTATAAGATAAGCTAATAGAACAGGGAGCGGAATCTACACTCATCCTCTCTTTCAATCCTCTTATTACCCTAAGAAGTAGGCACTACTGTTCCCATTTTACAAATAAGGAAACTGAAGCTTTTATAAATGAAGTAGTTTGTTCTAAGCAATGCAATTAATAACTGGTAGGGCTGAGATTCAAAATGAAGCAGTGGCCTCGTGGCTGGTACCAGGAATCCTTTCCACCTGAAGTGCTGCCAGGCTGTGACGCTGCTGTTTAATGGGCAGGAGGGCACACATGCTGAATCTCTCTCAGCAGTCCAGGTGGCCACACAGAAGGCCCAGGACGACAATGGGCAAGTCTGAGACTCTACCTTCATGTTATGCCCCTGAGCAGAACCTAGCTGTGACACACTTCTCCAGGGATGGCAGTACCCAGAAGGCAGACAGTGATGGCACAGTGACCCTTTCTAGGAGTGTAGGTATATGCACCAAAAATAGGCAAATCCTGCTGGCTGAGTGGCAGAGTCAGACTCCCAACCAAGCTAGACTTGGATGTACTGGTTTCATCAGTGTTCAGGGCCAAGTGCCAGGTAGCCAGGCATGACAGCAAGATCCAGTACTTAGCAATGCAAACTAACAAAATGTTTCTTTTTTAGACCTGTTCTGTGAATGACTCCAAGAAGAGCACATTGAGAGACTTCTTGGAAAGGCTAAAGAAGATTATGAAGGAGAAATACTCAAAATGTTGAAGCTGAAT